TATTGCTCTGATATAACAAATTTACCTCTCTTCCACGACCCTGTCGTGTTTTAAAAATCAGTAGCTGAAGAAATAAAGAATTGCCCTGTCACACTGGATCAGGTGCCGACCTTAACACCAGCCCAGGGTTAAGTTTCCTGTTATTCCCCATTACGAAGGCTCTGGTCATTCAGGGCTCGGGTCCCCCCTCCTGAGTCTCTGTCTATATTTAATGACTGCCATCAGTTATATACTTCTTTTCTCCCCATGACATTGTGTCAATCATAATTTGGGCAGGTATTTTTGCTATTGTTATTATTATCATTATTATTTTCAGTGATAAACTATCAGAGCCTGGCTCAGTTGATAGAAAATCTATCTGAATCTTGGCTGTCAGGATAGCATTGCTGATTATTTTGAAGTAACCTGCAGCAGTGTTGAGAGAAAATAATCATTGAAATGATCCAAAGGAGTAACTAGGGAACAATCTTTTATCTTTTCCTCCCTCCCTCCCTCTGTCCCTCCTCCATCCCTCCCTCCTCTCTCCCTTCCCTTCCCTTCACTTCCCTTCCCTTCCCTTCCCTTCCATTCCCTTCCCTTCCCTTCCTTCCTACTTTCCCTCTTATTTTAAAAATTGTCCTGAAGGATAAACTGTCTTCTTGGAAATGATACACCTCAACCTCAAGCTACCAGGGAAGACGCTGAGAATAACTGGAATTGTTCTTAGGAACTAGCCTCTCCCTGCTGTTGCCTCTGGGTCTTTGGAGGAAACACAGTTGTTACCACTAATCAGAACAGACGGGTAAAACCACCAGTGGATAATAAGCTTCAGTTGGCCAACATGGGACTGCAAGAAACCTTATGAACGAAACCTGAAGGTGGCTCAGTGGACTGCATGGACAGTCTGTTTTTAGGTGAGGAGCCTGGCAGTACAGAGCTCTGGCGAGCAGGAGCAGCAAGAAATCTAAGACTGCTCGCTCAGACAGTGAGGCAACATGTAAACAAAGGCTGAGAAATGTGGGTTCAGCTCTTACCACAACTAAAAAGGCCTTTATTCTTCCATATATTTCTAAACACCCATCAGAAATGATTTAAGATAAATTCCAGCCCAAGTAAATATTTAAAACATAGTCTCAGATCCTAATGAAGTTTTAAGATTTTCTAAAAATATAATCTACATAAGTTTTTGAGCATACCAAGTATTTTATTTGAATATACCCAAAGAAAAGGGGATATGCACTTGGAAATCTATGAAACTTGACCATTTTTTTAAAAATGAATAATAATTTGCTTCATGTAAAGTAGAAATTACAACGAACTCATGCTACATTATGAAGATACTTACTGTTGAACCCATCTTTCCCTTTTCTAGACTGAAAAGTAAAATAACCTTGCATTTAAACCCTGTCTCTATCACCTTGGACAAGTCACTTCTGAGCCTTAGTTTTCTCTTCTGCAAAATGGGAATAATATCAAAATTGCAAATTGTTATATAAATGACTGATTTATACAACATTATAGGTGCTCAAAATATGGTAGCTTTCATTCATTTACCCATTCATCCACGTATCCATCCATCTGCCAATGTATTTATCTGTCTAATTTTTTTTTTTTCTTTTTTTGAGATGGAGTTTCTCTCTTGTTGCCCAGGCTGGAATGCAATGGCACGGTCTCAGCTCACCGCAACCTCTGCCTCCCGGGTTCAAGTGATTATCCTGCCTCAGCCTCCCAAGTAGCTGTGAGTACAGGCATGCACCACCACGTCCGGCTAATTTTGTATTTCTAGTAGAGACGGGGTTTCTCCATGTTGGTCAGGCTGGTCTCGAACTCATGACCTCAGGTGATCCACCTGCCTCGGCCTCCCAAAGTGCTTGGATTATAGGTGTGAGCCACCACGCCCAGCCTACCCATCTAATATTTATTGAAGTTCTCCTTTCCCGCAGAGGTTGTGCTGGGTGGTGTCTTTTATCAAGATGACAGTCTGGGTTCCTCTGGTTGTTTTGCTGGAAAGGTTAAGTTAGACTTTCAAGCATCAATGACCATATCGACATATAAACCTCATTATTGCAACCCAGGTGTCAAAAACTAATTGTCAGAGGTTGCACCTAAGAAGGCTGACGGGATCTATTTTAACAAATAAAACTTGGAGAATGATGGACAATTTGAAGTACTTTGCACAATATTCTGTCAATTAAAAAACAATGCAAACCACAAGTTTTGCAGGTCCCGGGCGGGCACTGCTCTCAGGATGCTCCCTCCTGTCCCAGTCCAAACTAACGCCAATGCAAGGAAGGAAAAAATTCACACTGGTTTCACAGAAGTCGGGAATCGATAGTTCTTGACAATCACTTCTTCCCTATAAACTTTAAGCCCAGGAGGTCCTCAAGAGGAGACTCAGCACTCACAGAAGGAGGGGCAATTTGAGGGCAGACGTACTGTCTTTCAATGCACAACCTCTGAAGTATCCTAGCAACTCCTGAGAGCAAATCCTTTATGAGCTGAGTTCAGGGCCATCCAGTTCTGTCTCCTTAACACTGTCAGTCAGAGCTACCAGGAAACATCATTACTCAGAATTTCACCTTGCAAATAAATAGCTCTCAATGGCTGCCAGAGGCAATGGAATCTCTCAAAGACATTATCTGGAAATAGTCAGTGGACGGCACCTTGAGTCCCATTAATCATCCTCATGCTTACAGTACTTCTTAATGGCTTTTATGGTTTATCCTCTGAACGCCAGCAAGGAGTGTGATTTTTCCTGGCTTATTCTATTAAGCAGAAATCAATATCTAACATAAATGTGCCGATGGTAGGGTATTTGGAAAGGCCAAGGATGAGCTAGCACCCCAGTTTGATCTTGCCCTGCCCAGAATGGTGTGTGGAGATTGAAGATTTGAGGAAAAGGTAAACATGCCTGGTGCTTTCAAGGAATCAGAACACAATGCCATCAGGGAAGGAGTCGCCGTGTGCCACCAGCTGGATCTTCAGGGGTAAAGGATGTGGTTTTTGCTTTTCAAGACAGGTAAGGCTCAGGAGGGGCATGAAACCACAGACGGTTAAAGGAAGCAAAACAAAAAGATGCTTAATTTTCTCCAGGGAGTGACTTTAAATAAGGAAACGTGATTGGCAATGGTTGTCCTTGTGGGGAAAGAAAGCCTGGGCTTTGCCTCAGAATTCTCTATCACACGCAAGGGAAGCTGGTTAAGCTGCCCAATCACTTCCCAGTGTGCCAAGAGGCCACAGTCGCCATTTAAAAGTGATATATATCCCACATAGTGAAAAACAGCAGTCATATTCTGCAGAGATGGATGTGCAAAATGTGAGATTCATCTTTTCAGCCTGCAGAGGAGGTTTGAACTGTTCAATTCTGAAATTTCTGGTCAGCATTTTTGATGGCAGTCATTGACAGGAACGAAGCTGCACCCCCCCACACCCAAAAAAGGATGCAATATTCACTTGAATAAGGGTAAAAGAAAAGGTGAGGTCTGCAGGTAATAGAGAATCAAATCATGGTATCAATAAACTTACCAGTGCAGCACCCAGCACCAAGCACACTGGAGTCTGTCCCTAGCTTTGCTACCAGTGAACTGTGGTCACATGAAGAGTTCATTTGACTTCTCAGTTCTTCATTCTTTGTAGAAAGGGGCAGCAGGGGACTGCTTACTTCACGAACTTGTTCTGACAGTCCTAATAGGTATGATGTGGACTATCAAAAGCCAGGCCCCTCAGATCACAGAGGCCCTCTGGAGCATCTCCCAGCTGGAGGTTTCAAGTCCTGTGGGAAGGTGGCTGGAATGGAGATGTGGCCACTTTCCTCATTAGACTCAGGGGAAATCTGTAGTATCTTCACTAGTACTCTACGCAATCCTAGACTTTACTCTGTGTCCAGTCTCCAAGCTGGGGTCATGCAAAACAGCTTTCCCTCAAACAGATTGAAGAACTAAAATAAACACTCTAGACTACAGCAATGTAAATTACTATTAAGTGTAGCCATATGGTCATAGGAACATTGCTTAGAAGCTTGTTTCTAATTATTTACATTTTATTTTTCCTGAGAAATATACATATTGACATTAACTTATTCACCATTTTGGTAAAATAGGTCAGGAGATCAAGACCATCCTGGCTAACATAGTGAAACTCCATTTCTACTAAAAATATGACAAATTAGCCGGGCGTGGTGGCACATGCCTGTAGTTTCAGCTACTTGGGAGGCTGAGGCAGGAGAATCGCTTGAACCCAGGAGGCGGAGGTTGCAGTGAGCAGAGATCGCACCACTGCACTCCAGCCTGAGCGACAGATCAAAACTCCATCTCAGCAACAATGAAAAAATTATACTGGCTGGAGGTAGTTCTCTGATGATGGCTGCTGTGATCGTTACTTTTGTATATCAATTTGATTGGGCCACAGGGTGCTTCACTATTTGGTTAATTGTGTTCTGTGAGGACATTGTTGCATGAGATTAACTTTTGAATCAGCAGGTTCGGTAATGCAGATTGCCCTCCCTAATGTGGATGGGCCTCATCCTATCTTTCCAAAGCTTGAATGGAACAAAAAGACTGAGTAAGGAATTATTTTCTCTCCCTGCCTGATGGGCTTTGGCTGGGACATCAGTCTTCTGCCTTCAGGCAAAGACTTGGACTGAAACTTACACCAGTGCCTCTCCTGGGTCTCCAGCTTGCCAACTGATCTTGGAACTTCTTGGCCTCCATAATCATGTCCATTAATTTCTTATGATAAATCTCTCTCTTATACATGTGTATGTAAATCAATATATGTATATATCGATATATTTGTAGAGATACATACATAAACAGAGCCAGTAGATCTCTATATAGAGAGTATCTATCTATCTATCTATCTATCTATCTATCTATCTATCTAGTCTTTCTATGGAGATATCTCCTATTGGTTTTATTTCTCTAAAATGCCCTGACACAGCTGGCATAGGAAATGTTGACTACAACTTTTAGACCTGGAATGTTGAAGCATTCTCTGCAGGTATTATGATGGGTACATCACAGAGCATGATTAGAATTCAAGGATCTGAGCGTTAAGTGCTTCATATTTCATTTTGCATACTCACGTTAAAAAGTGAACTAATCAAAGGCTCAGAAGTGAATTCAGTAGCCCATGCACCAGCCTGAAATCATTAGTTAATACAGATGACAAGAAGTATTAGAATAACATTTTCCAGTTTGTCCTGTTTCACGTGGCTCAGTGGTAGAAGCTTTGTATAAATGAAATTAAGGTAAGTAAGCTATTCTCTTTGGAGACAAGTGTCTAAAACAAAGCACCATGGAAATCACTGATTCTGTTTTAATTACTATTTCACATATAGTTACAGAGTGTCTACTATATGACAGCCATTCTAGGCACCTAGATAAGAAAGACATACAAAATACTCTTAGTAAAAGTATGAAAATCATACAGTTGATGCTACAAAGCCCTGGGTGAGCTGAAAGTCAACAAGAAATAGGGTGAACAAATACATGAGCTAAAAGCCACACTGGCCTATCTCATAGTTTTTCAGAAATCAATGAGTTAAAGGTAGTCAAGGAGTTATCAAAACTTCTGTGTGTTTCAAAAATAAGATGAGGTGTTACCAGAATGGAAGGCTTAAAGTAGAAATCAGACTTTGCAAGTTATTAGTAGCAGTCCATAAACCAAATTACATTTTGCAAGAAATAAAGTGGGAAAGGTACTGGGAGAGTGAGCGTCTCCGTTCAGAGTGACATTTTTATGATAAAAATATGATGGGTGAGAATAACAAAGTTTGGTGTGAAGTTCTGCTGCACAGCTATTAAAACTCTTGTGAGGGGAACTATAAAGAAACTCCGAGGCAACAGCTCTCCTCAGCAAGAGCATAATGAATTATCTCTCACACTAGTTCAGCGTTAATAAACAGGTTTCTCTTATGCTTGTATTTGCAATAGTAGTGGGAGATAGTCTAAGAGCCTACTTCATACATGAACCATTTTGGGAAAATAAAAAAATACAAACGAAAACATACATTGTACCATCATACCTTCTTCATGGTGACTGGGGCATTTGGGGTGTTCTGAATTCCATTTCATAGAAAGATAAAGTTACATTTCAGACACCTGCCAATCACATGCTTTCTTCTCTTCAATGCACCTTCCCCCAGTCCCACAGGCATAATCGGCTCACTTCCCAGATGCACACTAAGCACCTTCTCTCTCACTTTTCCTTACTTCCTTTACTTCCAAACGTTTTCGCTGATCATTCCATTATATCCCTTCATCTCTGTATTGTTTTCCTACCTTCTCTCTTTCAGGTCATGAGCTTTTTCTAATCAATTTGTAAAGCCAGGAAGAACATGAAATTAAATAATTTTAAAAAATAATTTTAAACATTAAATGATTTTAAATAATTAAAATCTACACACTCACAAACGTCTGCCACGCCGACAAGCCACCACGGCTCTCTTGACCATCTACAACCTGTCACTAGAACTGCCCCACTCTGTCTGTGCCTATATCTCTTCTGGGTCACAAACTCCATAGGCCTTATCTTTTGATTAATTCAGTATTTTATTTTCCCCTACTATAATACCACAAAGATACTCAAGGTTCAAAAATGTCTTAGTTGATTATGACAGTAATGGATACATGGGGATTCATATGAATTAAGCAGCAGCTATCCAGATGCTGGAAACAAAACTGGGCACAGTGGCTTGCGTATTCTCGCGCTCAGCCCTAGCTAAGGCCATGGAATGTAAAACATTGTTAGGCCATTTAACAAAAAAACTCAATTAAAATGTACAAAATAAAGTGAACACCCAAAAGGAAAAGTGATTTGGGAAATGAACTGGTTAGCACTTACAGTAATTACTAGAGCTTACTACCAAATTACTAACCAAATTACTGGTAGAATGACCATATTATTCTACTCCTTAAAATGACATTGCATACCAATTTCAAGTAATTGTACGTAATTTCCTTGACTGAGTCCAGATAGTAATTTGAAGCTGAGCCCCGTGCAGGGTCTCCGTATTTCTTCCCATGTCTCTGACTGGAGTTCGATATTGCTTTAACCTGAAGACAAGGCTCCCCACCCCCACTTCCATCCCCAGTCCCTTGCCTCTTTTGGCCGGAGTAATAGCAGAGTGGAATACACGGCCAAAAATTGTGTTTTTACAAGTCTGACCTTACGACTCTGTGGTCACTCACATGACACAGTTTGAAAGTGTCTCAGACAAGTTGCCCACACCACTCTGGGGTCATGACTGCCCCAAATGCCACCGTTGATTCTTTAGTTGGGATGAAGCCTGGGAAGTAATTTACTGGATCCACTTAACAGGGATATTTAGGAGAGGATGAGATCTCCAACTACAAAGAAAATTTCCTAAAATGGGGAGAGAGATGGGCGAGGGAATGAAGATCTGTATCAGATTCGGTTTCCAGAAGCAGATGCGGAATTGGAGTCTGGGGTTCCAGATACTTACTGGAGTGCCACACGTGGGAAGGGAAGAGGAAGGAAGCATGAGCCTCCCGCGATGCAGGCCCCCGGGGAAGGGGCAGGAAGCACAAACAGTGCTTCCCCATTGCAGCTGAAGGTCCCTCAGGAGGCGCTGAGGAGCTGTGAGGCCGGCAGGAGGCCTGCGGACTAGGCTCCCTGCAGCTGGGCAAGGATCCAGGCAAGGAGGCCTCTCTGATACACGGTTAGGCTGGGGGCACTCCCAAAAAATGTCTACTCTGCAGTTTTAGGGCCAGGCTTTGTAATAAAGAGTTACGCAGGATCCCAAATTTAAAAAAATAATAATAACAAAAAAAGAAAAAAAGGCCGTCTTCAGAAAACAAAAAATGGCATGACTAACTCTCTCATAAAGGATACACCAGTGATTGCAAAAATGTTGTTGTCTTTTCAAATCAGCCTAAACTGGATTTCCAAATTAGCAGCCCCAACTGTGACTGCGCAGTTGCTTGCATTTGTAGTGCTGAAAAGTTGTGTTCACAGATAAGAGAGAACCATCTAACATAAGGCTACCACATTTCCCCCTTCTCCAAATCTGGGAAATGTGGTTGATTTGCATATTTAGCATACATTTGCATTCTGTGTTCAATAGCCCCTAACTCTAATTATGTAAAATAAGATAAATTAGTACATTTCACTGCCATTGCATTCTAGCCCTGTGGTTAGGGGCTAAGGAGACTTAACCCAACTTTTTCCTTCTCCTTCTGGCTTATTCCCTTCTAGGACAGAAGTCACTTGGTGTTCAGGCTGGGGACATTTCAAGGTAAATCCTTAACTACAGAGGAGGGGGAGGGCAAGAAAAAGAAGCAACCAACGATATCCAGAAATAGAGTTGTACATTTTCTGTTTTAACAAGTAAATTTAAAACGCCAACTTGATCCAAGTTAAACAAAAAACGAACTTTGTATAAGTAAATAGAAGGCAAACCACTTTTAAACAAAACAAAAAGTCTTACAAAATCAAATCCAGTACATCATCTTTTTGCAACATAAAACTTCCTATCACGCTGGGAATAAACAGGTTTGTAGACGGTGAGTGGTTCTAGAACCATGAAGGAAGATAGCAAGCATCCAGGGGAAGGTCATCATTGTTCTCCAGTCCATCGTTTGTGTCCCATGCTCTCTTACTGAGATTTCTAGGTCATTCTGGAGTCACTAGAATCACTCATTGATATGCTTTGCCCACAGGGCCTCACTAATCCCCGAACTTCACCCCTTTATCTCACTGGATGTATATTTATGAAGCACCTTCTATGTGTTAGCAAGATTGAAGGTGTAAAGATGAACAAGAACTAGAAACCCAGCTTGCTAGGAAGCTACATCGAAAACTGACTGAGAGAGTGATTACAATATAACAAGTACCATAAGAGAGGTGTGTGAAAAACGTGATGAATGCACAGAAAACCAAATGCTTACAGCTGCTTGAGAAGGAGTAGAAACGTAAGACTGGATAGGCCATAAGAGGTTTCCAAGAGGGGAAAATATTTTATCCTGCTTAAATTGGAAGAGTAAAATATTCTGAAGATCAAGAGGTGGGGAAAAGACTTTCTAGGAAGTGGGAATTATGCATATAAAAGCGTTTGCATTCATGAATTTGAATGCCCAATGAATAAGTCCAAAAATATACAACGTGTTTATGAAAATAAGGAGAAAGGCACTTCAGCCGTGACGGTTGAAAAAGAATTCATGGAGGCAGCGAGGCTTTCCCGCGAACACCAAAATGGTCTGATCTGAGGGGCAAGGTGCTCCCAGAAGGAAGAACCTGCACAAACAGATGCATGGCACTGGATCTTATATGCCTCATGCAACACATGAATCTACTGGGTTAACTCAGCCATGAGAAGGCAGCAGTAAAATAGAGACCAAGGTGCCTGAGAAAATACTGTATGCATGCTAGAGGTCATGTAAGCCTACTTTTTTAAAAAAATCAAGGGGCTGAAACAATCACATTAAATAATTATTTTAGGTCAGGCACCATTTAGTGATTCTTTATAGAAAACACAGACAGGTGAATTAGGAACATACCTGCAAGAGAGCACAGGATTAATTAGTCCTGCAGACAAGAAGGCTATTGTAGAAGGCTGTTAGAAAGCAGTAAAATTACCATATTCCAGGTGTGAAGAGATGAAGAGCTCAGCGAGGTTGGTTCCAGTGGGAATAAAAATAAAGCACAGGTCTTAAAGGCATTTGGAAGACTGTCTTACGAAACATGATTTTATTTAGGTTAGGATGACATACAGGAATACTGTTAGCGTTTTCAGACTGGGTAAATAGGAGAATGATAAGAACAGGGAAAGCAGGAAGATGAGAGGCAATGGGACGGGGAAGAACATTATTATGTGTCAACTGTATTTCTAGTATTTACCTATCAAGTTTATATTTACCTCATCAATCCTTATAAAAACCCTATAAAATAAAAAATTATTCTTCTACACTAAAAAATTACAAATCAGGGAGATTTTGCAAATTGCCCAAATGCCCAGAGGTAGTAAACTAGAGAGGCAAAACTGAGACTTGGATCTACTGTACTTCAGTTTCTGTTTAAGCTCTATTCAATATGCCTCACATGTTCCAGTGAGAAACATAATGTGTTTGGACTTAGACACGGTGAGTTTGAGATGATGGTGGAACACTCAAGAAGAAATACCTAGTGAGCAGTCAGACATAATAGGATCACAGATTTATAGAGCTGGAAGGCATCTTAAAAATCATATAGTCGTGGAGCCAAAATTCTAAAAAGAGATTATAGCTGGGGTTATCCATTTGGGAAAAATTCACATATTAGAAAATGAATGAAATCACCATATGAGAGAAAATATGCATTAGAAGGTTAACGATTGTCCTTTGGGTGTGCCCAGCTTTCTGGGGTGGGGAGAAGAAAGAGCTCACTAACGGGACAGGGCAGGGGCTTCCTGAAAAGGGGAAGAGATGGTGAGGTGCCCCCCACGTCTGGAAGGCAGATCGAGGCGTAGGTATCAAAAACGTTGAATGGCTCCAATAAGTCAGAAAAAATGAGACAACTGTCTGTGGTGGATAGAAGTGTGTTGGTTGCCGTAGAGAGAACCTGTCAAAAAAATACGGAAAATAATATAAAAAGACAAATACCAGGGGTAAGAAAGATTGCTTGGGGTTTCTTTATTTGACTAGATCTTAGAAAATAAAACACAACTCATGGGGAGACATGTAAAGTGGGAATTCTGTGAATATATAGCTTGGTTATAGTTTGCTGTGGTTTAAAGAGAGAACATCACAAGTTACAAAATAGCGTAGGCTTTTGGTTTACTGAGATGAAAACTGTTGACAGCTAGTATAATTCAGAACAATCTTTATAGTTTTGTGCAAGCTTTCATTAGTGGCTACAATCAAGGGTCTCTGATACATGCCACACAAATAATAGTAACAGTAAGTTAGGAACATTACCAAATTGTTTTTACTAAAATATATAGGTGGTTTTACCCAAGGAAGCTATTTCACAGAACTGAAAAGTGATTGCTCAGATTTGTGACACATCATTTAAAAAACTATGGTTTCCAATAGGATTCTGTTGCCAAAAATAAAAGGTTTAGTTACATAAAGGTGCACCTGACTGAGTATTGGTGGAAGGAGAGGAATTAGAACTGAGTCCAAGCTGCGCAGCTCTGGCTGACATTGATTATGTGCAGTGGACAGCATCTACCTGGATCACATGCTGTGCCTTCTCCTCCACTCCCTCTTCCACCATAACAATTAACTCACCAATGAGCCATGAATGCACCCCACCACCAAATGCCAGGTATCTTCATATAAGCCATGGCATAAGACCTCTTCATAAATGGACTGTGTCGTTCTCTGCAGAACAGAATGGTGATGCCACTTGCAAGCAATATCTAAAATCCGGGGAACTAATAAGCTTTGCATTTCTATGGGCTGCAAAACACAATATGGGTCCTCACTAGAAAAAAGCTAGCGTGTTCAATCATCTAAAACCACATCTTGCTAATCACCATTCTCTTTGGGTGACTGAGTTAATTTCTGCCCGTGGATAAACATGCTGTTTATACTACTTTAGTTGGAGGTCAAGAGACACAGAAAGAAAACACAATTCATTCCCCAATAATATCACCTAGTTTACACGACATCATAGTTTATATTATTAATATTTTGTGAATGACACCTAGGACTGAGCTATACAGAAAATGAAGTTGGTATGTGGGGTAAAAGGGCTTTCTCCAATATTAAAAAATAATTTTTATTGTCTTTGTGCTGCAATTGAAAATATACAATTTCAGCTGTCACCTGCAATAACGAATTTTTTTCTCTTTGGAGGTAGCATATAAAATATTCATCATCTTGGAAGCATTAATTTCAAAATAGAGCAAACTCATGGTAGAAAATCAAACAGTAGGGAAAGCAGTAACAAGAAAAATAAATTTCTCTTGGCATGTAACAGTTCCCCTCCCTGAGTCCGCATTCCCCCATCCAGTTAACCACTTCATCCTTTCTCTTGTATCCTTTCAGAAATATCTTGTATAGATACAAGTCCCACAAGACAGAAACACACACACACAAACACACAATTTCCTTTGCCTTCATTATACAAACACAATTAGAGTACACATACTTTTCAGCTGACTTTTTTCACATTGCCATGTGCCTTTACCGTCTTTCCGTAATAAGTGTAGGGCTATCACATTCCTATAAGGGCTACAAAGTATTCCATTCTATGGATTAGCATAATTTACATAACTAGTCCCATATCAATAAGGCTTTCAAAATTTACTTACTATAAAACTTTTTATTATTTGTAAGCATTTATTATTTCTATTTTATTTTTTATTATAAACATTTATTACTGTCTAATTATCAGTCATTAAATAACAAGCCTCAGGAACCTTAGGAACTTGAACAACACACATGCTACTGTGGGCATGGACTCTGTGGGTCTGGAATTTGGCCTGGGTAGGGGCGGCTTGCCCCTGTTCTATGATGCCTGGGGCCTCAGCTGGGAAGTCTCAAATGACTGGGGATGACAGGGCTTGCAGTGTCCATAATGGCTTCTTCTTTCCTTTTCTGACACTTTGGCAGGGACAGTGAGAAGGACCAGCTTCACCTGGGGGCCTCTCCAGCATGTGGTCTCTGGGTAATCAGACTTTTCAGGCAGGTGACTCCTCCAGGGCCTGCCCGAGCCAGCTGGGCCAAAGCTGCATGGCCTTTTCTGACTCAGCCTGAGTCAGGCAGAGTCACTTCTGCCACATTTGGTTATGAGAAGTCATAGGGCCATACCAGGTTCAGGAAAAGGGGGTCTGGACTCCTCCCTGTGCTGAGGGACTCGCAGCCAGCTGGTAGAAGACCAGAGAGCATATGAGATGAGGTGTCCCTGCAGCATCTTTGGAAATGAAAACTGCCACAACTGTTTTAAAAGCCAGTATCCCTGCCTTTGTGCTCTCATCTTGAGTGCTTCTTGACTTCTCACACATATGTCCCAGAACGCTGTCGTGCCCTGCTTGGAGAATGCCAAAGGCTCACTACAGTGGAAAGAGCACCAGCCCCACAGAGAGCACATTGGATTCAAGCCACTGAGCATCTCAGAGCCCCAGTCTCATCATTAAAAGGAGTGGATTATACTAAATTAGGTCCAAGGCTCCGCTCACTTACAGAATTTTATCATTCTAAGACCCTACCTGTATACAGTCATGTACCATATAACAACATTTAAGTTACGGACAGACCGCAAATACAATGGTGGTCTCATAGGACTATAATACCGTATTTTTACTATACCTCATCTATGTTTAGATACACAAATACCACTGTGTTACAACTGCCTACAGCACTCAGTACAGTAACACTAGCCTAGGAACAGTCGGCTCCACCATGGAGCCTAGGTGTGTAGTAGGCTATACCATCTAGGTTTGTACAACTACACTCTATGGTGTTCACGCACAACCACATAGCCTAACAAAGCATTTCTCAGAATGTGTCCTGGCGTCAAGCAGCACATGACTGTATCTCATCTTCCAACTCCTTGTTCTGAAAAGGAGAAACAAAAAATAAAATGGACTGAAGGCATTCCCAGCTTTCCAAGCCATTCTGCACTCACCCCGAAGACAGGGCGTGACCGAGTACAGTGAACAGCAATGAACATCGCACAGCCTGAGTGTGACTCCAGCCTGGCCAACGGTACAATAGACACGTTTCTGAACTTAGGAATGAGGATGATGATACCCATTTGGGAGTATCTAAACAAGGAAATAGGGGTACTAAAATTTCATTTTATAGAGCAATCATTTTTTGCTTCCTTTTGAGAGCAAGGGATTGAGATATGAGAGAAACAGGTAGGATTGATATAATCAGAAATGGTGTAAGAAAGTGTCACAAACATAAGGGATCGCTAGCTTCACGGCTCCCTGTCCATACTGCGGCACCTCTGCCAGATCTTCTACTACGCTTAGCTTTCTATCTTACTCTGCCTAAGCTGCGCCATGTGAAATATATTTCCTATCCCAGAGAGAATTTCTCTCAGGGATTTATACTTAGCATTTGGAAAGTTGAGGCCAGGCCAGGGGCTGGTCTCATGACTGCCTAGGTTTTGTTGCTTCTAAGACCAGCATGGAATGTCCTGTTTCCATTTACGGTAAGATTTGGGAGAGGCTTGGAGGGGCAGGCAGCCTTTGGATGAGAGTGCATAAGAGAAATGACTGGCAAAGAGTGAAGGGTGAATAAAGAGAAGAGGGGAGGCACAAGGAAAAGCAGGGTGTAGGAGCTGATGTGTCTGGATGTAGACAGCCTGGTTTAACGTTCAGTTCCCTTTCTGTCACTAAGATGACCAACATCTGGGTGGCACATCTCACCCCATACCACAAGGCACATGGGCCCGACTAGGGTTCTTTGGGACAGACAGGAAGCATTCCAGGCTGCATGGCCTAGAATTTATTATTTAGGTCAGACAGACTGGAATGGATAACTTTCTCTAGAGATCAGAGGCTGTGCGCTGTCTCTGATGTGTGACAAATTGAAGGAAGCACAGCCATGCCTTCAGCACGCTCGGTGAGGGATGCACAGGGAGAAGGAACGTGAAGGAGCCTGTGCCTGCCTTACTTTCCATTTGTTTCAGTTTCTCCCCCCACCCATCTGCTGTCCTTGCAAAGCAGGAAAAGGAAAAGGAAATGTCATTTCTCTGGAGATGTAACAAAAGGTTATTTGCTTC